GCTGGTTAAGGTGAATGGGCCCAGACCTCTGACGCCTGCTTACCCAGAACCCCGACGACGTGATTTTCTCGCAACATGGGCCCCCAGCTGTCTGGACCTATTCCCCAGGACCGGTTTTTCATCCCGAGTCCTCTTTTTACAGCCTCGAGGCCCGGTCAGGGCCCGGACGCCGAAAATTGCGAAAACATAATCCCGCATCGATATTTTATGACCAGGAAGGGTCTGAGCAGATTCAACAAACACACACACACACACACACCAAAACGACGGGCTCGGCTTTGTTCTGAGACGTGAGCCTCGGACCTCACGACCACGTCCCGATATGTCCAGCTTTCATCCCGACTCCGTATTATTGTGATGGCCCCGAGGCCCCAAGTCGGCCTCGGTCAAAAATGGAGACCAAGCGGACGCCTCGATTCTGTCGAGGCGCCGGATATCTGAGGACATCTGGCAGGGGACGGCCTTCGTCCCAGATTGCCGGGCGCCTCTCGAGATTGCGTTTTCCATTCCCATTAACGGTCGTTACCCGGGAGGGGTAGGGTTAGGTCGGGCATGTCTCCCTACAGGCGGATTTTGGGCGAAAAATTAAAAATACCCCAAAAATGTTCAAACATAGTTAAAAGTATTAAAAACATCGTCCCCAGACGATATTTTGACTATGCTTGACTACTCCTCCTGTCGAGGGACAGGCCCGACTATTAAGGGTAGGGAGGTGGGGCCACGGGTAACGGTGGAATCGCTTAGGCGGGGTGGGGCAAATCGGGGCGAGGGCGTGCTACGATCGCCACGGTATGCGCGCGAGCACCAGCACGTGAGGCAGGGGTCCAGCCTCTTCCCCCCCCCCACACGCACGATCGTTGCCCTTGACCCCGGGAACGTGGGGCGAGGGCCGTCGTGGTGTCTCCGGAGGGAGAAGGCGGGAGCGGACACCGACCAGGCCGCTGCCCCTCAAGGGGGGGCTATCGCCAACGAGCCCTTGCAGCCAGGGGGGGCGGGGCTTGGCCCTGGTAGCGACCGTCAAGAGCCAGAGGATAAACATCACGTCGGGCATGTCCTCCTACAGGCGGAATCTGGACGAACAATAAGACATAACACAAACACAAATAATTAACCCAAAATAGTGTTTCAAAAAGAACCGTCCCTGACTATTTGTTCGCTACAGTCGAGGTGTTGACCTAAGGAACCCTGAATAAGGAACGAGGCCCCTTTTTTCCATAAGTTAAGCTTCGATTTCCTGTCGAAAACATAAGGAAAACCTGAGGCAAGCTGCGAAACAATTAAGGAACATTGAGCCCCTCCCCATCGAAAAGGGTTCCTTCTTCAAGACCCCTACTGTATTTTTGAAGGTTCCTCCTGCAGAGGGACAGGCCCGCCTTCAGATAAAAAACAAGACCCTGCTCCGACGGCGCGCCCTCTTCGCGGCGTGGTCCCCCCCGAGGACCCCGGCCCCTGTCTTGGGACCCGCCTCTCCTGCGGGGCCGCTCTCTGACCGTACCGAGGTGCGGGAGGCACCGCCCAGAGGCCGAGACCAGAGATATCCGCCAGTCTGCTCTTGTCTCCTCCTCCTCCCCCTCCTCCTCCTCCTCCTCCTCCTCCTCCTCCTCCTCCCCCTCCTCCTCCTCCCCCTCCTCCTCCTCCTCCTCCTCCCCCTCCTCCCTCCTCCCCCTCCCCCCCTCCTCCTCCTCCTCCTCCCCCTCCTCATCCTCCTCCTCCTCGGCCCGGGAGGTCTCGACCGCTTGAAGCTGCGAAAGACCACCCCCTGGGGAGGTTCCCCAGTCATCCCAGGCAGTCTTCTGACTGTCCGAGGCTGGGGAGACATCGCCCAGAGGCCGAAACCCGAGACATCCGCCGATCTGTTTTTTCACTCCGCGGCCCCGGAGGTCCCGACCGCTTCCCCAGGGGTGGTCTCTCGCCCTGGAACACCTCTTGACGGCACCGAGGCCCGCAAACTGCCCCCGAGGGTCGAAGCCGAGAAAACAAACCAGGATTGGAAAAAACAAAAGAACATCGCCAGAAAGCAGTGACCATTGAAAAATCCGCCGGCACCGAATTCCTTGCGACGCCCAGATCGACAGGTTCTGACTGCACCGGGGGCCGAGAGCCGGCCCCGTGCCGTCGCTGAGGCGTGTTGTTATCATGCGCATGCCTCGGTCTTCTGGCGAGGGCTACCAGAAGCAGTCGAGTTCCTCGGATGAGGGCCCAAGTTGAGGCGGTGACCAGCTCAGGGAGGGAAACATCGACCTGGACTCGGCGATGCATTGCCAATAGCTCGACGAAAGGCCCTCGATAGTGACTCGGAGTGGGGCTATCGGGCCCCCAACGGCGGTGAATGGGCGATTGGGGATCAGTGCGTCACCCCCTGAGCCTATCCCCCCGATCGTTGCCCCTGATCACAGATCCGCAAGAATGCTTGCACGTGTCCGAGTCGAGCGAATCAACCCAGGAAGAACCCCACCAACGACACGAAGCCCACGCAGCAACGCTAACTTGGACCCTTCCTCGGCATCAAAATCGACCTCCAGGCCTGACCTGGGGTGCGCGCTGGCCAGAACTCCCAGACGGATCCAGCCGAAGCCACGAGGATGCCCCCAGAGGCCCCAAAAGAACAAAGACACACACAGAATAAAAGATTGATCCTCGAACCCAAGATCTCCGAACACAGAGACTCGAAATCACAAGTTGTCCGCAACGTGAACCCCGGAGGTCTCGACCCCAAGACGGGCTCTTCACTCCGGGCCGCTTAGCGACAGTCTCGCGAGGACCCGGCGAGGGCCCTCGGAGGCCAAAGACTGTCAACGGCCTCCCGGCGTGACTCTTCCACGCCGCGAGCCCAGACATCCGGCGCTCCGACGTGTTCCACGCGTGGGGTCCGGAACTCTCAACCCCAAGAGCGCCCAGGAGGCACCCCAGAGTGATCCCAAGAGGGCCTCAAGAGCCCGCTCTCGAGGGACGTGGTAGGGGCGCCCTGAGCAAGCAAGGAGAAAGCCTTGCGCTAGACGCACGGGGTCCCGCCGCTCGGGGCTTGCGGTGGGTGGGCGCGCTTTCCCCGAGGGTTGCGCTTCAGCGCTGGCCCTTGCTGGCGGCGGGCCCTCGCCGGGGGTGCGAGTCCCCTTCCCGGCGTTTTTTGACTCCCCGCTCGCTGTGCCGATGGCTCCGCACGAGGCGCCCGAGGCCAATCAAGCGGCGACGGGCTGGCTCGGGGCGCTGGGAAGCTGGGAGGGGCCTGGGAGCCCAGGCACCCGACGGGTGTGATCATCAGAGGCCTAGGCATGTGAAGGGGCCCTGGGACACACAAATAAATACACACAATAATAATAGGATTCCTGATAATTTTCCCATATTTTCTGGGTTTTTGTCTTCCCCCACACTTCCCATATTTTCCTATATTTTCTAGGCAATCGACGATGAATTGTGTCTGTGTGTTTTTGTCCCCTCCTGAGCATGGCACGTGGCACTGCTCCTGCCCACGGGCCACAGTGAAAAAAACCGCTCGTGCAGTTCCGCAGGTGGGCCACCCCGGAACAGCGAGCGAAAGACGCTGTGACTTCCACGCGGCGTCTTCCGCACATCCCGGCCAGCAAGACCCGCTCGAAAAACTCGCAGCGAAACCCAGAGCGCCACTCCGACGGGCATCCGGGGGCCCTCTGGCGCCATGGGGCCTCGACCCCTTCCCCCCAAGGGGTCCTGGGGACCGAGGCCCGCCCCCGGAGGCCGAGACTGGGAAAAAAAAAAAAAAAAAAAAAAAAAAACACGCCGCGATAAGGGGGGGGAGCAGAAAAAAACATCGCCGGGGCCGCCAGGAACGCAACCCAGGCACACGATGCCTCAATTGTTCGAGCCTCGAGCCTCGGACCTTCGATGCTCGGGGCTTCGAGGTTCAACCGAGACATCGCAGGGTCAGCCCGATGGCTCCACTGAAGGTTCGAGGTTCAAACCGAACTCTTGACTGAACCCCGAAGGCTCGAGGTTCAGACAAGACGTGGCACGTCTGGGTTCAACCTAGACCTGCGATGCCCGGATTGTTTCCATGCGGGGTCCCCTCCGGACGCCTTCCTCAGGGCAAGCTTCCCATCCCGACCCCCTGTTCGACGGCCCCGAGACTGGGCGAGGACCCCCAGAGGCCGACGAGGGCCTCAAGCCTTCCGTCGTGCTTTTTGCCACGGCGCGAGCACGTCCGGAAGTGGAACCTGCGTCGACGACGACGACGACGACGACGACGACGACGACGAAAGCGACGACGACGACGACGACGAAAGCGACGACGACGACGACGACAACGACGACGAGGCCACAGCGCGAGCATGTCTGGAAAGCTTCGGGGCGCCGCGCGGCTCCCCGGGGCCTGAGGGACCCCCGGCCGCAGAGCGCGGCCGCGTTGTCGTCCAGGCACAGCGAGCGCAGCCGCGGCGCCGCCGCGCGCAGCCGCAGCGCGAGCGCCAGCGCCGGCGGCGGCAGGCGGGTGCCCTGGGCAGCCACGCGACGAAGGCGACGGCGGTGGCGGCGGCGGCGACGGCGACGGCGACGGCGACGGCGGCGGTGGCGGCGGCGGCGGCGGCGACGGCGACGGCGACGGCGACGGCCACGGCGACGGCGACGGCGACGGCCACGGCGACGGCGACGACGACGACGACGACGACGACGACGACGACGACGACGACGACGACGACGACGACGACGACAGCGACGGCCACGGCGACGGCGACGGCGACGGCCACGGCGACGGCGACGACGACGACGACGACGACGACGACGACGACGACGACGACGACGACAGCGACGGCGACGACGCTGGCGGCGGCGGCGGCGGACAGCAGCCCGCACCCCCTCGCGTCACGAAAAAATCACGAAGGACGTTTGTGTTGCTACTTCGGGCCTCTGGGGAGGGGGGGGCCTCGCTGGGCCCCAGGACCGCCCAGAAACTACTCTGGCCGAAAAACCAGTCCCAGGGAATAGGTCGAGACCTCTGGAGGGATTTTTGGCTCGAGGGGGCCCTTTTGGCAGCCTCAGGGGGCGGCCTGGGAGCGTCGGGGGCCGTCCTGGAGCCGTCCGCGGGGCGTGCCGCCTCGATCTGGGGCAGTCTTAGACCGTCCGCTGCGCGCTCGGGGCCGCTCGGAAGGCTCGGCGGCGGCCCCGAGGGCCGCCCGGGGCAGCCCGAAGCGCCCACTGGGAGCGGCCCGGAGGGGGCCGGTTCGCTGCCACTGCTCGCCATTCTAAGCAGCGGTGAACGCTGCATTGTAGGATAGATTGATGTCGTTGAGCATGTCCTGGAGCTGGCTGGTGATGTCGCGGTGAATGACGTGGTTGCAGTTGTCTGCGAGTCGCGTCCAGAGTGCGTCGTCGTGGTCGTAAAGGTAGATTTGCGCGTCCTTCGGCGTGTCGCTGCCATGGGGGAAGAGACCTCCAGCGTGGTGGTAAGCGACACCGTGACACTTGATAATGGGCGGGTCGCCGCCCCGAATCTCGTGGAAGCGGTCCCCGCCGTAGGAGACAAAGGAAAGTGCGTTGGTGTAGCTTTTGAGGGCCTCGTGCAGCTCGGTCAGCACGCATGGCTCCGAGGAGGATGCGTTCCAGTGTTGGGGGAGGTCTGTGAAGGGGTCGTATTTGCGTCGGCGTGACCATCCCGTGTTGGCAGCACAAACTGAAGTGGCCTCGTCCCCCGCGGGTTCCTTGCGCCACGCGCTCCTCGGGGAAATTGTATGCACGACAGAGACTGCACATATCCACGAGGCCACGAGATTCATACGGAGGTACAGCGGCGTCCGTGTGGACAGCGAGGGGGAGCAGTGCTCAAAGGTGGCCTCGAACTCGAGCTACGTGTCGGCGGCAATAATTCGCGTGGGCCACGACCGTAATTGCCAGCAGGGCGCATCCGCCGGTCCATGCGCACCGCGCCGAGCATGCCTTGTCTGCTGGTAGGTTTGGAGGGCCTGTGGTCGCGAGGAATGTGAGGAATGGTTGATGGAGGCGACGGCAGGTCGGCAGGAGATTTGTGCACGATCCGTCGTTCTTTCAATAGGGGAAGTGGGGTGACCTGAGAGGATGTATCTGGGTCGGAAGTATGCTGCTGATGGACCTGCGGGGCGTCGAGGACAGGGCGCGGGCTGCCGCAGTATGTCGAGGAAGGCCGTGGTTGCGTTGGGGCGAGGGGTGGACGTACTGAGGTGTCGGCGGCGTCTTTTGGCGCAAGCGGCGTAAACGGATCGAAGGGAGGGGTACTGGTGCAGGCGGCGCCGCGGCCAGCGCTGCGTTCTGCGTCGATCGCGTGCAGAGGGCAGGCGCAGTTTGCCCTCGGGCCATCTTGGGGGCCGCTTGGGTCGTCTTGGGGCGATGCGGGAGGCGTCTTGGCGTATCCTGGCCCAGTGAGCCGCGCAACAGGCTGGTATGATGTATATATATATATATATATATGCAATTTCCCCATAGGAATTTGCTGATGTTCGTCTCTGTGGCGTCCTCTGAAGGCCCTCCCGCAGCGTCTGTGGGCTTTATTGAATCGTCTGGGGGCCAGCTTCGGAAGTCTCAAGCACGGTGTGCTGAACCTGGGACTCGCACACCGTGGGTGAACAGCTCATCGAAGTTGAACAGCTCGGGCGTCCCTGGGGCAGTCTCGGGACCGTCTTGGAGCCGTCGTGCCAGATGGCACGAAGAGGGCCACCAGAGGGCTCCAAGAGGACTCCAAGAGGGCCCCAGGACGCGGCCAGGCGCGGGCCTACCATTCTGCTACGAAAGGCCTTTCTGTGGCAGAATGCACCTGGCCCTGTCTTGCAGGGGCCCGAAGGCCCCAAGAGGGCCGCAAGAGCGCCCCCAGGGGGCCCCAGGAGGGCCTCGAACCGCATGTACTTGATATGCTACTTGGGCTTGCGAGAGGGGCACCCAAGTACATGTGCCATAGGAGCCTTGTCAGGCCCCTCTTGGAGCCCTCCTGGCCCCCTCTTGGGGCCCCTCGGAAGCGCTCCCACCCTGTCCTGGCCCCCTCTTGGGGCCGCCATGGGCGCCTGAGGAGCCGTCCTGGCGCAGTCTTGAGCCTTCTTGGGGCCTTCCTGGCAGCCTCCTGAGGCGTCTTGGGGCGATCTTGAGGGCCTGTCTGGCCGTCTTGGACGCTTCGAAGACGAAAGGCACCGAAAGTCCTGAAATGCACGTTTTCCCTAGGGACGGCGACGATTTGGCCTCGTCCGGGCTTCTCTGAAGCCCACTTGGAGCATTATGGTGGCCTCTTGGGCCGTCGGGCGGTCTTCGGCCGTCTCCTGGGGGCCTCTGGGGGCTCCGGGCGCCTGCCCGCAGCGGGCCGAGCCGGGCCGAGCTGGGCCGAGGAGGGCCGATGCCACCCGGCCCTCTTTTCGCACGCGCTGATTCTGGTACTGTCGGAGGTGAGGGGGTGAGATCGAAGTGGAACGGAGAGCCCCCCTACCGGGAAATCGATTTCGGTTTCGTGTTCGTGCGTGCCGTGCGCGCGGGCGAGGCGAAGCTGCGTGGGCGGGCGAGAGGAAAGTCTCCTGTGGCTGAGGCGCGGCCGGACCAAATGTCTCTTCCGGGCGGCCGGTGGCGCGCGGTGTCCCGCCGGTGTCCCGCTGGTGTCCCGTCGGTGTCCCTGTGGCTGAGGCGCGGCCGGACCAAATGTGTCTCTTCCAGGCGGCCGGTGGCGCGCGGTGTCCCGCCGGTGTCCCGCTGGTGTCCCGTCGGTGTCCCGTCGGTGTCCCGATGATGATGTGATGATGGATGATGATGATGATGATGATGATGATGATGATGATGATGATGATGATGATGATGATGATGATGATGATGATGATGATGATGATGATGATGATGATGATGATGATGATGATGATGATGATGATGATGATGATGATGATGATGTGGTGGTGGTGGTGTGATGATGATGATGATGTTGGTGTTGTTGTTGATGATGATGACGTCGATTGTGAGATCGATTGTGACATCGATAGTGAGACCGAATGTGAGATCGATTGTGAGATCGATAGTGAGATCGATTGTGAGATCGATAGTCAGATCGATTGTGAGATGATGATGGTGATGATGGTGATGATGGTAATGATGGTGACGATGGTGATGATGGTGATGATGATGACGATGATGATGATGATGATGGCGTCGATTGTGAGATCGATTGGGAGTTCGACTGTGAGATCGATAATCAGATCGATTGTGCGATGCTGATGGTGATGATGGTGATGATGGTGATGATGGCCATGATGGTGATGATGATTGTGATGATGATGATGACGACGTTGATGATGATGATGATGCTGATGCTGATGATGATGACGATGATGATGATGTTGATGGTGATGTCGATGATGATGATGATGATGATGATGATGATGATGATGATGATGATGATGATGATGGTGGTGATGATGATGATGACGACGTCGATGGTGATATCGATTGTGAGATCGGCCACTCGTCGCTACGGCTGGATTCGCCTCGAACCGTGTCCTCCTTCGTTGTCTCCCTCCGCTCGTTCCTCTCCTCGCCTGCTCCCTCCCGTCCTCTCCCTCTTGGTTCCTCGGCTTCCTCCCGCTTTCTCTGCCTTGCCCCACCTCGGGGCGGCGACCTCCTGAAGGCGCTCGCGCCGTGCCGTGCCGGTCCCAGGGCTCTGTGCCGTGCTGTATCGTCATGCTGTGCTGTATGCTGGGCTCTGAGGCCCCAAACACAAAAAACGGCCTCGTCGTCGTCGTCGTCGTCGTCGTCGTCGGCAGTCGTCGGTCGTTGCTGGACCGGGGTGCCGAGTGAAAATTGCCTGGAGCTCAGGCGCCGTTTTCAGGTCGATTGCGAGATCGATTGTGATATCGATAGTGAGATCGACTTTGAGATCGAAAATGAGATCGATTGTGAGATCGATAGTGAGACCGAATGTGAAACCGAATGTGAGATCGATAGTGAGATCGATTGTGAGATCGATAGTGAGATCGACAGTGAGACCGAATGTGAGACCGAATGTGAGATCGACTGTGAGATCGATTGTGAGATCGATAGTGAGATCGACAGTGAGACCGAATGTGAGACCGAATGTGAGACCGATTGTGAGATCGATTGTGAGATCGATAGTGAGATCGAGAGCGAGATCGATAGTGATATCGATAGTGAGATCGAATGTGAGATCGATTGTGAGATCGATAGCGAGATCGATTGAGTGAGACGTTGGTTCCCCTTCCCCCCTCACCTCCTTATCACCCGCAGGGTGGTCGTATAGGTAGTATAAATGTCGTCGGGCTCCAGCTTCGCCTCCCACATCTCGCTCAGCAGCGCCAGTGCAGGCTGCCACTGCCCGCCCTTCTCGCACGCGCTGATCCCAGCGCTGTAGCTGACTAGGGCTGACCCATGGACTCCGTCCACGACATCTTTCTGGAATGGTTCTCGGAGGAACGGCGCAGATTGTACCGAAAATCTACAAACACGGCGGCGGCTCGGGCGGCGGCAGCGAGACCGCGCCTTCGTGTCCGAGCTCTTGCAGCGCTCCAGCAGCTTGGCCCAGCGCACTGCTCGTTCACCCCCCTCCTATTGAGGACAGTTTCGAAGTCTCTCGGGGATGTGCGTCGAAGTCGAAGCCCATCTGAGGCGTCTCAGGAGCGCTCGGGGAAGGGCTCGGGAGGCCATCGGGGAAAGCCACCGAAAGCGCCAGGGAGGCTCGCAAGGATCTACAGGGAGGGCACAAGAGAGCTTCAAATTCTGTGAAATCTTTAGAGAAACCGCTGTTGGGTCGGCCTGAGCGTCTCTTGGGTCGTCTTGGGGCCCTCTTGGGCTGTCTTGGGGCGCTCTTGGAAACCTCTTGGGCCGTTCTGGGGCGCTCTTGGAGGCCTCTTGGGCCGCCTTCGAGCGTCGGCAAGCGGAAAAGGCGAGAAGGCCAAAATCCTTCCAAAACCGTCGTAAAGCGGATGATTTTGACGCCCAAAACCGTCCAAAACCTCCTGAGGCGGTCCCCTCGTCCGCCCCCGTGGCACCTCTTGGGGACCTCTTTTGGGCTCCTGGGGGCCTCTTGGGCCTCTCTGGGCTCGTCTATCGCGCCCCTTGGGCTGTCTTGGGGCCCCCTAGGGCCTTCTTGGGCGGTCCTCGGGCCGTCTTGGAGCCATCTTGGGCCGCTCTTCGGGCCATCTTGGGGTCCCGTTGGCCTGTCTTGGGCGCCTCTGGGGCCGTCCTGGGGCCGCCTTGGACCGTCTTGGGGCCCTCGTGGACCGTCTTGGAGCGGTCTTGGATGCCTCGGGGGGGGGTCGGAGCGTCGGGAAGCCGAAAAAGCCAGGAAGCAAGAAACCTCGGACAAAAAAAACAATGAAAATCAACGATTTTGGCCTCTCGGGGCTCCCTTGGAGCGCCTCTTGGGAGGCCTGCTGGGCCGTCTTGGGGAGCTCTTGGGCCATCTTGGGCCAATCTCGGGCGTCTTGGCCGGATCATTGCGCGTCTCGGGGCCCTCTTGGGCCGCCTTCGGGGCATCTTGAGCGGGCCGGAGCCGTCTTTGAGCGGCTCGGAGCCGTCTTTGGGCCCTCGGGGCGGCCTCCGGAGCGTCTCGGAGCCGTTTCCGGCCATTTGGCGCTTTTTCCTTCCAGCACGCGGTTCATCCGGCCATAACCCGTGGACTTCGTCCACGTCATCTTGCCAGTCTTGGCTCGAAAAGGCCGTCTTGGGCCTGTCTTCGCTCGAAATGGCGAGCAGGTGGAAATCTTTCAGAAACCATAGAAGAATCAATGATTTCGTTTGCCGCGGCTCGTCTGGAGCGTCTTCGAGCGATCTTGGGCCGTCTCGGAGGCCCTCTTGGACCGCTTCCTTCTCTTCGTCCGCCTTCCACTCTACCTCCGCCTAAACAGCCTTCGAAGCGTCACAGACGGCTATGGTGGGTCTGCGGTGTACGTCTCGCCGCTTGTCAATTTTGAAAGCACACAGGGCCTTGAACAAAGTCACCCAGAGGGCTCTGGTGGCTTTTTTGCGGTTGTCTTTTCGAAGCCTGATGGCGGGCGCTGCCGTCTCCTTGGGAACGGTTAGTGGGCCTCTCGGTGTTTCTTTTCGAGCTCCTGGGGGCCTGTTGGGGCCTCGTTGGTTGTCTTGCGGCCTCTTGGGCCGTCTTGCGGCCTCCTGGGGGCCTTTTCTTTTGAAGTTTTTTGGGGCGCCTCTGGGGACGTTCCCGGGCTGTCCGCCCGAGCCTCTTCCAGGGGACAGCCCTGGAAATCTATTGTGCTTGCGTGCTGTGCGTGCGTGCTCCTGTGTGAGAGGTCGGAAGGGTGTCCCGACGTCACCGCTCGCTCTTGGGAGCTGTGCCTGGGAGAGCTCTCTACGCTGCGTCTCGCTCTTGGGAGCCTTGGTGAGCTTTGTGCTTCACCGATCGCTCTTTTAGTGGGCGTCTCTGGGCCTGCTTGATGGTCCTTGTGGGGGTCTTTTTCGGGCCATTCTGAAGCTTCTTGGGCTGCTCTGGGAACGGCTTGGGACGTTTTGAAGTCTTTTTGGGCCGTCACGGGGCGTCCGGGAGACCTTGGACCGTCTTGGAGCCCTCTTGAGGCTGCCTGAGGCCGTCTTGGGAGCCTCTTGGGGCCCCCTCGGAGCTCTCTTGGGGCTGTCTTGGGGTTCTGTGAGGCCGTTTCAGGGCTCTCTGGCGTCGTCTTGGGGCTCTTGTGGGCCGCCTTGGAGCCCTCTCAGGGGCCGCTGGCGTCTTCTTGGGGCGAGTTGGGAGGCCTCTCGGCGTGTCCTGGGCCGCTCAGGAGCACACAAGGCGGGCATGCTGAAACTATACGTTTTCCCATCGGAATTTGACGATTTGTCCCTCTTTGGCGTGCGCTCGGGGCACTCATGGGGCGTCTTTGCGGCCTCTTGGATCGTCGTGGAGCCCCCCCCGGAAGGCTTCGGGCCCTCGTGGGCCGTCTCGGGACCCACTGAGGCCGTCTTGGAGCGCTCTTGGACGGTCTGGGACCCCTCTGGAGCGCCTCTGGGACCGGCCTGAGCGATTCGGCCCCGTTGTGGCGCCGGAAAGGGGCGATTGTGTGCACACGAGGCGTGAACCATTCTCGCACGCGCTTCCACTGCCCATGTAGGAGAGACTAGGGCTGACCCGCGGCCTTCCGGCTGTGGAATCTGCCTGCTACGGCGTGGACGTGGAAGTGGAGCGTCTCTGGGGCCTCGCGGGCAAGGGGAGGTTGGAGGGGACGGCGTGGATGGAGGAGGTGGCCGCTGGAGGTGGCGGTGGCGGAGGAGGGATGCAGGCAGGCAGACCTGAAGGCAGGAACGCGGTGGTGGAGGCGGTGCCAGTGGAAGCACACCCATGTAGGCATGACATGGTGTGGACAGAAGCGGTTTCATCATAGCTTCATCGGGGCTTCATAGCTTCGGCGGGGAGGGTAGCCATGAGAAATTTATCTGCTCTTCGCCGGGGCCGAGTGATAATTTTATCTGGTAGTATGGTGGCAATGGGGCCAGTGGGCGCGGTCTCGGAGGCCCGCAAGAGGGCGGCGAGACGGCCCAAAAGGTCTCCAGGACGGGCCAAGAGGCTCAGAGGGCCCCACGAACTCCCTAAGACGGGCCCCAGTGCGAGGACACGAGGACACGAATCGAAATTTCGAGCGCACCGCCCCAAGACGTCCCCAACTGGCGCAGAGATGGCTCCCGGAGGGTCCAAGAAGCCCCCAAGACGACGCTGGAAGCTCGACGCTCCCCAGGAGAGGAGCATCCAAGGCCTCTTGGGGGCCGTTTGGGGGCCTCTTGTCGTCCTCCTGGGAGTCTCTCGGGGCCCTCTTGGGCCGTCTTGAGTGCCTCTTGGGCCGTCTTGGGGCGATTTGGAGCCGACTTGAGCGCCTCTCGGACCATCTTGGGGCCGTCTTGAGGCCATCTTGGGCCGATCTTGGGCGCTCTTGGGGCTGTCTTGGGTGTTTCTTGGGCCGTCTCGGGCGCCTCTGGAGCCGTCCCGGACGGCCCACAGACCGTCTTGGAGACTGTGCAGACGGAAAAGCTTGGAGACGGTGCGGTGGGGGCCTCTACAGCCGTCTTGGAGACGGGGCGGTGGGGCCATCGTGGGCCATTCTGAACTGCTCTTGGGGCTGTCTTGGATGCGTCTTGGGCCGTCTCGGGCGCCTCTGGAGCCGTCCCGGGGCCGTGTGGGGCCTTTTGGGGGCCCTCCTGTGGGCCTCTGGGCGCGTCTTGGGGCGAGCTGGGGGACCTGTATAGCCGTCTTGGACGCTGTGAGAACGAAAAAACAAGATATAGTGAAAATGTACGTTTCCTGTCGGGACTGGGACGATTTGCGCCTCTTGGGGCTCTCCTCGAGGTCCTCCTGGGCCGTCCCTGGCCTGCCTTGGGGACCTCTGGGATTGACTTGGGGATCCTAAGGGTGCTCTGAGTCCGTCTTGGCGCCCCCTGGAGCCTCTCGGAGCCGTCCCGTGCGCCATGATTGGCTGCTCTTGGGGCTGTCTTGGGTGCGTCTTGGGCCATCTCGGGCGCCTCTGAAAGCCGTCCCGGGGCCGTGTGGGGCCTTTTGGGGGCCCTCCTGTGGGCCTCTGGGCGCGTCTTGGGGCGAGCTGGGGGACCTGTATAGCCGTCTTGGATGCTGTGGCGAGAAAAAACAAAACATAGTGACAATGTGCGTTCCCCTCCGGGAATGGGACGATTTGGGCCTCTCGTTCTCTCCTGGAGGCCGTCCTGGGCCGTCTTGGGAGCCTCCTGGCCTGCCTTGGGGGCCTCTAGGGTTGTCTTGGGGCTCCCAAGGGTACTCTGAGGCCGCCTTGGCGCCCCCTGGAGCCTCTCGGAGCCGTCCCGACGCTGTTTTTGGGGCATCTGCGCCCCGGAGGGCGCCCCGGAGGGCCCGGGGAGTGGGACCTTCTCGCACGCGCGGATCCCAGCATTGTAGAAGAGATGACGTCGGGCTCCAGCTTCGCTTCCTACATCCCGCTCAGCAGCGCCAGGGCCCGCTACCACTGTTCGCCCTTCTCGCACGCGCTGATCCCACCGCTGTAGCTGATGGCGTTTAGCTCCAGCTTCACCTCCCGCATCTCGCTGAGCATCACCAGAGTCCGTTGCCACAGCTCGCCCTTCTCGAAAGCGCTCATGCCAGAGTTGTGTCTATCTCGTGCGAACACACAAAGCAACTGCTCAAGCGATGCGGCAGGCTAACACGGCGAATCTGAAATTTTGGCGACCGCCTACTGGCTCGATTCTTACATCTTGCTGAACAGTGCTAAAGCCCGCTGTCACTGCTCGCCCTCCTTGCCCCGGGGCTCCGCAGGTGCAGATGCTGCCGCTGATGTCGGCATATCTGGCCATACGCAAATCTCAACACCCAGTGTCTCAAAGCAGCGACGTACCTCTTCATGTATATCTTCTGGCAAATCAAGGAAGAGCTTCGTCGGAACCGGTGGTGGGCGCTCTCGGACGGCCCAACTGATAAAGAACAGCGCGCCCATAGCCTGCTTCATGTGGTCAGTAGAGACGCCCGGCTTCACTTCGCGAAAATCTGTCCTGGTGAGGGTGCCGCTTTCGTCAACGTGAGACTTCACGACATCGGTGAAGAAGGTCAGGCCACCCACAGCGCCAACGCCCGCCGCATCCTCGATGTTGCCAGGGGATCATTTGCGAATCCACTGCTGCGAGACAGCAACCTCAGCTGTGGTAACTACAATGCCACGTCGTACATGATTGGTGCTATAAGTACGCTTGCTTCCGTTACGACGCTTGAGAACGCGGATTCCTGTGGAGCACACACGATTGCGAGCCTGTCCGATACACCTAGCTGTATCATCTGTGTTTCCAGCGCTCGCTTGTAATGTCAGATCAGCCTCTTCGGGTTTTACTTTGCCCTTCGAGCGTGTCTCAGTGATGACGCTCGGCTCAAGCGTAGTCGCACGCATCTCATTCAGCTGTACCGAAGCCCGCTGCCACAGCTCGCCACTCTCGCAAGCGCTGGTCTCATCGCTGTCCCCGATGGTGTTGGGCCGTAACTTTGCATCCTGCATCTTGCCCAGCAGCGCCAGGGCCCGCTGCCACTTCTTGCCTTTCTCGCACACGCTGATCCCAGCACTACAGCTGATGACGTTGGGCTCCAGCTTCGCCTCCCGCATCTCGCTCAGCAGCGCCAGGGCCCGCTGCCACTGCTCGCCTTTCGCGCACGCGCTGATCCCAGCACTATAGCTGATGACGTTGGGCTCCAGCTTCGCCTCCCACATCTCGCTCAGCAGCGCCAAGGCCCGCTGCCACTGCTCGCCCTCCGCGCACGCGCTGATCCTAGCACTATAGCTGACGACGTTGCCTCCCGCATCTCGCTCAGCAGCGCCAGTGCCCGCTGCCACTGCTCGCCCTTCGCGCACGCGCTGACCCCAGCACTATAGCTGATGACGTCTAGCTCCAGCTTCGCCTCCCACATCTCGCTCAGCAGCGCCAGGGTCTGCTGCCATTGCTCACCCTTCGCGCACGCGCTGATCCCAGCATTATAGCTGATGACGTTTGGCTCCAGCTTCGCCTCCCGCATCTCGCTCAGCAGCGCCAGGGCCCGCTGCCACTGCTCGCCCTTCTCGCACGCGCTGATCCCAGCACTGTAGCTGACTAGGGCAGACCTGTGGACTCCGTCCACGACATCAGCTCGACGTGGCGAGGGGTCTCTGGGCAAGCGCGGGGGGGTGCGGCTGCAGGGCCCGACGCAGTTCGCGTCCTTGACCACGATGGCCAGTTGAAGGCGCTCTCCACACCCTCCAGGACCTCCTGCTCTCCTGTGTTCCTCAGCTGCTGCTGCTGCTCGGAGGTCCTGCTGCTTCCTCCCCCTCCTCCTCCTCCTCCTCCGCCTCCTCCTCCTCCTCCGCCTCCTCCTCTTCCACCTTCTCCTCCTCTTTCGCTCGATTCTCCATGCCCTCGGTCGGCAATCGTCGATCCTACGACGACTCTCCCCAACAGAGAAACATCGAAGGCCCTCGGAGCGTCCAACATTGTTCTTTTGTGCCTTCGATATGCCGGTCGCCTCTCGTCCGCTCCCCCCCTCCTGGAAGCAATTCTGAGGCCACTTAGGGCTTCGTGGGGGCCGTTTGGGGATCTCTTGGGGCGTTTTTGCCTGCGATATGCCTGTCGCCTCTCGTCCGCTCCCCCGCTCCTGGAGGGAATTCTGAAGGCACTGAAGGCTTCGTGGGGGCCGTTTCGGAGCCTCTTCGGCCTTCTTTGGGGCCTCCCAGGGGGGGCTCTTAGGGCCCTCTCGGGCCGTCTTGGGTGCCTCTTGGGCCGTCTTGGGGCCGTCTGAGATCCGCCTCGGCGCCTCTTGGCCTGTCTTGGGCCGTCTTGGGCCGCTCCTGGGGCCGTCTTGGGTGCCTCTTGGGCCGTCTTGGGCGCCTCCTGGGCCGTCCTGGGGCCGTCCTGGGGCGTCTTGGGACCGTCTGGGGCCCTCCTGGCCCGTCTTGGGGCTCTCTTGGGGTCCTCTTCGGCCGTCTTGGAGCGGTCGGGGAAACTTCTTGGGCCGTCGTGGAGCGTCGGGAAGCCGAAGAGGCGAGGAGGCCGAAAACATCGAAAAACACAATAGAAATCGACGATATCTGTCGCTCGGGGCCCTCTTGGGAGGCCTCTTGGGAGGCCTCTTCGGGCGTCTTGGACGCCTCTTGGGCCGCCTGGGGCGAATCTCGGGCGTCTTGGGCCCATCTTTAAGCGTGCCGGGGCTCTCCAGGGCCGTCTGGGGGGCTTCTGGGGGCCCTCTCGGCGTGTCCTGGAGCCTGCCTGGGCGGCCCGGGGCGGCCCAGGGCCAGCCCGGGGCGGTTTTGAGACATTGGAGCCTGCGCCCTTCTGGCACGCACTGGGCCCTGCAATGTAGTAGAGATGACGTTGGGCTCCAGCTTCGCCTCCCGCATCTCGCTCAGCAGCGCCAGGGCCCGCTGCCACTGTTCGCACTTCTCGCACGCGCTGATCCCAGCATTATAGCTGATGACGTTGGGCTCCAGCTTCGCCTCCCACATCTCGCTCAGCAGCGCCAGGGCCCGCTGCCACTGCTCGCCCTTCGCGCACGCGCTTATCCCAGCACTATAGCTGATGACGTTGGGCTCCAGCTTCGCCTCCCGCATCTCGCTCAGCAGCGCCAGGGCCCGCTGCCACTGCTCGCCCTTCTCGCACGCGCTGATCCCAGCATTATAGCTGATGACGTCTAGCTCCAGCTTCGCCTCCCACATCTCGCTCAGCAGCGCCAGGGCCCGCTGCCATGCTCGCCCTTCTCGCACGCGCTGATCCCAGCACTATAGCTGATGACGTTGGGCTCCAGCTTCGCCTCCCACATCTCGCTCAGCAGCGCCAGGCCCGCTGCCACTGCTCGCCCTTCTCGCACGCGCTGATCCCAGCACTGTAGCTGATGACGTTGGGCTCCAGCTTCGCCTCCCACATCTCGCTCAGCAGCGCCAGGCCCGCTGCCACTGCTCGCCCTTCTCGCACGCGCTGATCCCAGCACTATAGCTGATGACGTCTAGCTCCAGCTTCGCCTCCCGCATCTCGCTCAGCAGCGCCAGGGCCCGCTGCCATTGCTCGCCCTTCTCGCACGCGCTGATCCCAGCACATAGCTGATGCACGTGATGGCCTCCAGCTTCGCTCTCCCGCCACTGCTCGCCCTTCTCGCACGCGCTGATCCCAGCACTATAGCTGATGACGTCTAGCTCCAGCTTCGCCTCCCGCATCTCGCTCAGCAGCGCCAGGGCCCGCTGCCACTGCTCGCCCTTCTCGCACGCGCTGATCCCAGCATTATAGCTGATGACGTTGGGCTCCAGCTTCGTCTCGCGCATCTCGCTCAGCAGCGCCAGGGCCCGCTGCCATTGCTCGCCCTTCTTGCACGCGCTGATCCCAGCATTATAGCTGATGACGTTGGGCTCCAGCTTCGCCTCCCGCATCTCGCTCAGCAGCGCCAGGGCCCGCTGCCACTGCTCGCCCTTCTCGCACGCGCTGATCCCAGCATTATAGCTGATGACGTCTAGCTCCAGCTTCGCCTCCCGCATCTCGCTCAGCAGCGCCAGGGCCCGGTGCCACTGCTCGCCCTTCTCGCACGCGCTGATCCCAGCATTATAGCTGACTAGGGCTGACCCGTGGACTCCGTCCACGACATCTTTCTGGAATGGTTCTCGGAGGAACGGCGCAGATTGCACCGAAAATCTACAAACACGGCGGCGGCTCGGGCGGCGGCAACGAGACCGCGCCTTCGTGCCGAGCTCTTGCAGCGCTCCAGCAGCTTGGCCCCGGCGCACTTCTCATTCACCCCCCTTCTATTGAGGGCAGTTTCAAAGTCTCTCGGGGATGTGCGTCGAAGTCGAAGCTCATCTGAGGCGTCTCAGGAGCGCCTGGGCAAGGGCTCGGGAGGCCATCGGGGACAACCACCGAAAGCGCCGGGGAGCGCAAGGATCTACAGGGAGGGCCCCAGAGAGCTTAAAGAAAATTCGAAATTCAGTAACATCTTAACAGGAACCGCTGTTGGGTCGGCCATCACCTCCGTGCACGCCTTGATGGTGCGATCCAGTCGCATTGCCGCCAACGGGAGGGTTTGTTCGCCAAGTCCAATTCTGCTCGCCGGGAGGGTCTGCGGTCCGAAGAGTGCGGAGAGGTGCATTGGGTCATATCAATCGGCTGCTGTCCCAGGGGTCCGGTCTGGTTGGCCCGAAGAGTTTGCCAAGGCCCCTGGGGGAACAGAATGGCACAGCATGTCGGGCAAAGGGGGGCGGTAGCTGGCCTGTCAGACCCGGCGTTCGTCTTCTGCCCAAGCGGCGCGGGGCCCACGGGCCCCAGGGTTAGCGGCCCGCTGGGTTTCCTATTGTTCGCCCACAGGGTTGGAGGAGGCCTCCAGGCGAACAGAATGGGGCAGGACAATGAATGTGGGAGACTTGTCGCAAGCTCCGAGCCCCCCCAAGTGTTCGCCCGAAGGGTGTGGGGCCGCGTTGGCTCCCTCACAAGGCCGTCTTGGAGCCGTCTAGGCCCGTCTTGAGGGCGCCGTTTGCCGTGAGACGGGCCGTTTTGGTTCGTCGTGGGCCCCTCATGGGCGCGTCCGTAGGCCGTCCTGGGCCCATCGGGGTCCTTGTTGGCACTATCTTGGGGCGCTGTCTTGGAGCCGTCTGGGGCCGTGAGGGGGCCGCCTTGGAGTCGTCTTGGGCCCCTCCTGTGCGCCTCCTTGAGCCGTCCTGGGCCCAGCAGGGACCGCGTTGGCACCCTCTTGGGGCTGTTTTGGAGACGTCTTGAGCCGTCGCAGCGCGCCTTGGGTTGTGCTGGGGCCGTCTTGGCCCGTCTTGGGGGCTTCCTGCGCGTTTCCTCGGACCCTCCTGGAACTTTCTGGGGCCTCTTGGGGCATCCGACCGTCGAAATGGCGAGAAACGCAAAGGCTGTAACAATAAACAATGGAAAAAAAGATTTTCGCCAGCTGGGGATCTCTTGCCAGTTTGGCCCGTCTTGAAGCCCCGACTGGGCGCCTCCTTGGGCCGTCCTGGGCCTATTTGTGGCCGTGTTGGCACCCTCCTGGGACCGTCTTGGAGTCGTCTTGGGCCGTCTTGAGCGTGCCTGGGGCCCGTCTGGGGCCGTGTTGGCACCCTCGTGGAGCCGTCTTGGAGCCGTCTTGGGCCGTCTTCAGCGCGCCTTGGGCCGTGCTGGGGCGGTCTTGGCCCGTCTTGGGGCCCTCTTGGGAGCCTCCTGGGGGCGTTTTGGGTGCTTTTGGGGTGGCCTTGAAGTCTTCGAGGGCTGCCTCGAGTGTCCGAAAGCTGAATTGGCGGCAAGCGGGAAATCTTTGGAAAAGCCTAGGACAACAAACGATTTCGACCTCTCGGGACCCTCTTGTGAGGCCTTTTGGAGGCCTCTCGGAGCGCCTTGGCCCTCGCTTGGGTCGTGTCGTGCCCATTTGAGGGTCCTCGTGGACGCTCTGTGGGGCTTCCCAGAGCGTGCAAAGACCGTCTGGGGCTCTTATGGCGCCGTGTGGGGCCCTCATGGCGCCATCTGGGGAGCCTCCAAGGGCCCTGGAACGCCCGAAGGGCTCGCGGAGCGCTCCGGGGCGCTCTGGACCGCCCCCCAGAAGACAAGCATGGAAGGGCCCCAGAGCGTTGAAAACAGCTCTTGTGGGCATGCGGTCCGGCCCTCGCCTCTCGTCCGACCCCCTCTCTTAGAGAGAAGGTGGAAGCCACTTAGGGATTTAGGGCCTCTTGGGGGCTGTTTGGGGGCCTCTTTCCGGCCTCCCGGGAATCCCTTGGGTCCCTCTTGGGCCGTCTTAAGTGCCTCTTGGGCCGTCTTGGGGCCGTGTGGGGCCGTCTTGGGCGCAGCTCGGACCGTCTTAGGGCCGTTTTGGGCCGTTATTGACTGCTCTTTGGGCTGTCTTGGTTGCCTCTTGGGCCGTCTAGGGCGTCTCTGGAGCCGTCGCGGGCCCGCCTCGGGACGTTTGGGGGCCCTCCTGGGGTGCTCTGGTGGCGTTTTGGGGCGATCGGGAAGGCCTGTATAGCCGTCTTGGACGCGGCGAAGACGAAAAGAGCGAGCATATCAAAAATGTACGTTTTCCGAAAGGAAGGGGCACATGTTTGCCTCTTGGGTCCTTCCTGGGGGTTGGGTCCCTCTTGGTCTGTCCAGGCGCCCTCGTGGGCGTTTCTGAGCCGTCTCGGAGCGGCCTGGGGGCTCGCAGGGAGGCCTGGAGAGCCTGGCGGACATGCAAAGACAGAGGACCTTCTGGCACGCATCATGGCCTTCGACGAAATCCGCCACCGTGCCTGTGCCTGGGTAATGGCTCAGAGCCGTCTGGGGTCCCTCTTGGAAGCAGTTTTGGGGCCTCTTGGGGGCCGTCTTGGGGCTTGCTTTGGGCTTCTTGGGGGCCTCTGGGGACCTCTTGGCGTTCCCTTGGGGGGGTCTTGGGGCCATGTGTGGGCGTATGGGGGCCCAGGGCTCGGATTGTCAGGGCTTTTTCCTGTTTTTTGGTCCCCTCTTGGGCCCGGTTTGGGGTCCTCTGGGGCCGTCTTGGGCGCCTCTTGGGCCATTTTGGGCCTCCTGTTTGGCCGTCCTGGGGCGGTATTGTGGGTCTCTTCGGCCGTCTTGGAGCGTCGGCTAGCCGAGAAGGCGAGAAGGCGAAACTCCTTCAAAAACAATTAAAAATTAAGATGAATGGCCTCTGGGGGCATGCTTCGGAGGACTGTTGGAGGCTCTTGGAAGCCTCGTGGGCCTTGTTGGGGGCCTCTAAGGGGCCTCTTGGACGATCCTTGGAGCCTCTGATGGCCACTTCGGCGCGTCTTTGGGGGGAGGGCTCGATTTGTGACCCTCGGGGGCCAAGATCTGCGCGAGGGGTGTCGAAAAATGGCCATCCGGGGAGGGCAAAGTGCACGACCTCTTCGCACGCGCTTCCGTCTGCCATAAAGAAGAGACCACTGCTAACCCGTGGCCCACGACCACGACAAGTTTTATGAAATTGCCTGCAGAGCGCGGGTCGCAACGAAATGCGAGCCAGGGCGGTCGGCAGGAAAAAAGGGAGAAAAAGCGGCTGTTTGTGCACAAGTGGTCCCGGGCAATTTCTGAAAAGACCGCCCCCCCAGGCGCAACCATCTTCGCAATGCAAGACGCTGCTGCCCGGGATCCGCGCTGGCACACTGACTTGGCGTCGTCGTTGTGATCGTGTTCGTCGGCTCCGAGGCGTTCAATATGGCCCCCAGATGGCTTCGCGATGGTAAGGAGCGCTCGCAGAGCGAAAGATCTGCAAAGGTCTTGGTGGGCGACTCCTGTCGTCGTCGTCGTCGTCTGCGTCGTCGTCGTCGTCGCCGTCTGGCGTTTGTTTGTGTCAGGGCACGTGGGGCATGCGAAGCGTGAAGATGCCCTAATTTGGCGTCCCCGTATTTGTCTAATTTTTTTCTGGGGACGCTTTCTCCTGCGTTTCCGGCGTTCGAATCGGGCGACGTGCTGCGGCTAGCGTCCTGGGAGCCGTTCATTTGGGTTCCTGATTTTTTTTGTGGTCGTTCTGGGGGCGCTTTGTGCCCTGCATGGTCTATGCAAGCGTTCATATAGCGTCCCCGCATTTTTCCTGATTTTTCCGGGATGTTTTTTCGTGGTTCGTCGGCCTTGGAATCCGCGCGCATTTCCTGGGTCGGCGCCGGACCCCCCTGCCCGGCGCGCGGAGCGCGCCGGGGGCGGCGCCGGAGGCGCCGCCAGGGGGGCCCAGCGCAAATCCAAGAAATCCGCGTGGACATCCGACAATTCATGCTTATGGCGCTTTTCTTACTTGACTGTGAGGCCCACTTCGACTCACACCAGCGATTGGACTGAACGAGTGATCCCTGGAGCCCTGCTCGCACTATGCGGGCGGGCTCGCCTCCTCGAGCTCTCGCATCAGCCAGGCGAGAGAAACGGGAGGCCTCAGAACGGTCGACGGTAATCAGCTACACCTTAGGGGTACCTGCCCTCAATGGCTTTCTGGCGCTGCAGGGGACGACCGTCTATCCTCTTTCTTTCGCGAGCGCGCCGGCCCGAAAAGGCGTTTGGGCGAACAGGATGGCACAGCATATACGGCCACGAGGGGACGGGAAGGAAAGGGGAATGTGCAGATAGGTGTTCGCCCGCGCGCCGTGGGGAGGCGAACTGGCACGGGCAGCCGAGGCGACAGCAGCCGCGGCGGCGGCGGCAGAACGGCGCGCCTGCAGGCGCAATCCCTGTAGCGCGGGGCCCTGACGTCGCTGGTGTGGTCGACGCATGGCGCGGTGGACCTCTTCCTCCTCGTTCTCCTTCCCTCGTCTGTCTCTCCATCTTAGCCTTCACCCCGCTCTTGGAGCCGTTTCGGGCCGTTTGGGGGGCGAGTTTGGCGGTTCTCCTGGGCGGTCCCCTCGTCCGCCCCCCTCGCTTCGAGGCAGTTTTGAAGCCCCGTGGGACCTCTTGGGGACCTCTTTTGGGCTCCTGGGGGCCTCTTGGGCCTGTCTGGGCCCGTCTATCGCGCCCCTTGGGCTGTCTTGGGGCCCCCTAGGGCCTTCTTGGGCGGTCCTCGGGCCGTCTTGGAGCCGTCTTGGGCCGCTCTTCGGGCCATCTTAGGGTCCCGTTGGCCTGTCTTGGGCGCCTCTGGGGCCGTCCTGGGGCCGCCTT